ATCAAACGTTTCACACGTATATTTATGTTTCTGGTTCGGCTGGAATCTGAGCCGAATCCACGATTTATAGCCGACAAAACGATTACGATGCAAACAGCTTCATGATTAGGTTGATTTTTCTGCAATAAGTAGAAAGCTAGAAGTGATGCCCTTCATCATCTGGGGAATAAACGCTTTAGATAACACGTGCTAAGCGAGTTTCAAGAGGCCCTTTTAACAGCAGCTCACTTTAACGGCTGTGACTAAATAGAATGGGACCTTTATCAGTTTTTTCAATCACACCTGTGTTTACCTTGCATTTACATGTCAAAATGGCCGCTGTGAAAAGGGCCCATTCTTTGGTACTTGCTGTCATTTCGCTTTCCTTCCCCAATTATTTTAGCTGAACGTCATATTTCCCCTGAGCTGATTGGAGGGTTATTCAGATCACCTGTTGAGCAGGGTGTGAGGGAGGGAAGGCTCCTAATTAAGACTTGAGAGCAGCTTGGTGCACTTCCCTCTCTTGACCAATCAGAGTGTGTCGACGCCCTCTCTTTAGGGATTTTAAGAGAAGTGGGGAACTGCATGTTCAAGGTTGTTCTGATGCTTATAGTGACTTAGTGCATATCTCATTTTAGCAGATAGTCAGACAGACGCTCTGGGTTTTAAGATAAGATGGACTTTATTGTCCTGAAGGACATTTGTGTTGGTGGGCACATACAGTATCTGCTGTTTAGCCTCTTTGGAGATTTTTGAGCGTTCTGAAACCCAGCTGGAGTGAATGTTAAAGAACACCTCAACGTTACCTGAGTCACGACAGACCTTAGTGTAATTTTTGCAAGCGTTACTGCTATCCTCATTACTTGTGAGTTGTTTCTCCAAGTAAATACTTTTGTATTATGCGATTGGAAACTGGTCTTCAGGCTACTTCCCCATCAGATAAAATCTGTGGAATCAGCACAACGATGGGATCAGTTGTTCTTCTGTGATGCTTTGCTTCTATTCTGTTTCGTACCGTTCTGTTCTACTTTGTTTGTTTTTATTCCTTGGAAACTGGAATTCTGAGTTTAAGTTAACACTTAAGGAGTGAAAGTGTGTGTTTCCTTTAACTCACATACACACATTCAACCATATACATCTATGCCACATGCACAACCGAATCTGCTTGAATACACACACAATATTCACACAAGTAACGGCACTAACACACCCTTAAGGTGATGTGTGTTTCAGACCGTAGTGATGAGGGTCCTTTCGGGTGGAACAGGAAATCCCTGTGCTCTGCGGGTGAGCTGATATCATTGTTCCCTCTGGAAACTCCTGGACAAATATGCATTTGTTCCCTGTGAAATCGGAGGAAACGTTTCCACGGCGCTCCACGTCAGGACGCAGCTCCTCCAGGGAGCGCCGGCCGGGATGTCCTGGAATGTGGCCGTTTGGTGAATTCATTAAATCATTAACCTGCAGGATCGAGAGGCACGCAGGCCAGAGGAAGGTAAGCCGGTGGTGCCTGGAGTGGAGCTGCAGCCGCACTCAACGCCTGCAAACAAACACTGCACTTAAAACAGAAATCAAATAAAGAAAAAATCAACAAGAGCAAAATTTGAAGCAAAGTAGTTTGTGCTTTTTGACATGCGAACCCTTGAATTTACAACAGTATAACGTAAGTAGAAGTATTAACAGTGTTTTGTCTGTTATTAATAACTGCAGATACTCAGATCAGCAACAGGGTCTTATAAATCTCAGCTGCACACACGTTGGCACCACGTTAGACGTTCCCCAACACTACGACATGATGGATTGAGTGGGATCTAGCAGTGCAGCTGGTTAGAGCCTCGGGATAAGAGAGCAGCTGAGGAGTGAGGTGTAAATACCTACTAAAGTCCAGAGGCTCATTCACTGACAGATATAAGTAGAGTGAGATGAAGGATGTTGGCTGTACTGAATATCAGAGGTGAAAACAAGATGGATTCCTTTGAGTGTGGCATGTGTGTGTGTGTGTGTGTGTGTGTGTGTGAATTACTCTTGATGGAGCATGCAAAGTGTTTTTTTATCTCAAAGCCCTGGTGGTTTTAACTCAGGAGTTCAGTCCTCTGCACGTCTCATACTTCACTCCTCCTCAGCTGGACACTATGGAACATTTACATATTCATGTTCATCTCAAGGAAGTGGACACAAAAACATTAACACCTCAAGTGTTTGTCAATCAGCATCCTGTGAGGACCTGCTGGCAGTGAGGGGCGGGGTTTATGTTGTTCATTCAAAGCAACAATGTGGTTAGCGTGGATGCTGCGATAGCATCAGTTACATCAGAACTGGAGATTATTTATTCATCTCAACACAAGACTTTCTATGGCAAAGACGTTTTCACTCTTCTCCCGACTCGCTTCAGCAAGAGTTTGATTGACAGATGGTTCATCCAATCACCTGCCAAGTATTTTTTTGAAAGTGCCAGCTGTTTTCCAAATAGCTTCTCGTGACTGCTTCTCAGGTGGTTCTGTGTACCATTAGGATTGTTTTGAGATGAGCTGCTTCTCGCCTAGAACGTGGACGAGATCAGGCAGCAGCAGCAGCAGCAGCAGGTGATGACAAAAAAACTGCTGTCAAGACGAACAGTTTGGTAGCCTTTAAAGAATATACAGATAGTCACAGGTACATCCTGTTAGATCCGATCTGTAGGCTACTTGTATTTCAGGTTTATTCATATTTGATGTAAATATACATTTATGTAAAAATGTGTGTGTATCTGGAATTGTATTCTATTATTCTTTTTATGTTTGCCGCGTAAAACACTTTGATGCTCTTTTTGATGAGAGCCATATAAATAAGCTTTATTATTATCAACCACACGAGACATGTTTTTAGATTAAACCTTTATTGCACAACATGAGACTACAATCGAGCGTTAAAATTTACAATTACAACAAAAAGTGCCGGCGCTCTCAGGACTGGCTCATCTCGAACGAGCCTGAACTGTCAGGTTACCATAAATGGTGGACCGAAGGAAGTTTGAGCTGAGCTAAATGTTAGGTCTCCAAACTCATCATCATTATCCTCCTGTGGGGACTCTGCATATCTGCTCCAAATGTCATCTCACTCGTTAACCAGTATTAGTTGATAAATGCCCAAACTTTTGTTCAGACTGACTGACATCCGAATTAGCAAACATCTTGCTATAATCTCATCGCTGCATTGGTGTCCAAAACCCAAAACAAAGGCAATAACTTCCCCCCGCGTCTTTCACACACTCTCATGTCAACACTGTCCTCTCTCTCTCTCTCCCCCCACCTCACCCTCGGGCCATCCAGCCAGGTCTCCCCCCTCGCTGAATGCTTGTCTGTCAGAATCCCTCTCTGTTGCGTTAATCCGGGAGTTTTTTGTGTCGTTGTCCAGGGGTCGGCCCTCGATGGCTCTGAAAGCCCAGCGCGCCTCTGTTCTGCCTGCTGCGTTTCTGCTTTGCTGTCACTCACCGTCCTGACCTACTTTATATTTTGTGTCTCTGTGCGTTCTGTCCGGGCCCTATGGTCTAAACAAAAGAGGCTGTTGTTTACATGTTGCTCATCAATAGGCAGGATGCTGGACCTGCCGCATCAACAAATGAGATGTGGCCTTTTTTAGTAAGACAAACATTTTTGCTCACAGAGCTCCACTGGAAAAACCGTGAACTGGACGTGAATAAATACAAATGTAATCGCTATTCATGTTCTTTATTTGTGGTGGATTTTGGAGATGATTCCTTTTTATGCCTCTGGTCGCCGGTGACATCCGTGACCTGAGGCATTATGTTTTCAAGTTGTCCGTTCTAATGAACGCGATAGCTCTGGAACACCTGGAGGGACTTTCCTCAAATTTGGCACAAACATCCACCTGGACTCGAGGACAAACTCATTCAAATTTGGCGAAAAAAAAGGTCACTTATTTTGGCCATAACTAAAGAATGAATTTGCTAATTGTGACAAATTTACACAAATGTCTAATAGGATAAAATTATGGATGATGACATTCTGGACAGACATGGACGCAACTGGTTGGTGGAGGCGTACAACCGTTTAGGAAGAACTTCATATGTTTGTTTCTGTAATCTTGGAGGCAAAAGTCAGGTCAGACCTTTGTCCTCAGATAGTTCACTTTCTTGTCATAATAGTTTAGGTTTTTCACGTTTCATTTTTAGGTTTAGGACAAACCTCGTGGTTGGGCTTAAGATAAGTACGTAAACTAGGTCAAAAGTAAACTTTTGTGCAGAAAACGCATCACAAACCTCCAAAATGTAACTTCAAGATATACCTCAACAACACTTTGGTACATGAACACCGGGTTCCTGGGTGAAAGTCCTGTGTTTGTTTGACCCACCCACCATAAGTAGTCTTTCTCATACTTTATGCTACGTCACTTCCTCTGAGCGTAGTGTGTTCACATGCTGTCACAGAACAGACTACCTAGTGTACAAAAGACATGCAAAAGCATGAGTGGCGTTGTCATTGCACCCTAAATTGCTAATAAATTGTTGTGTCATTCATACGTTTGGAGAGGCCGGCCTGGGCTGCCTGAGGAAAATGTCTTCCTGTTGTGGTTCCTGTTTAGGCATCTAAGGACCTGCAGTTATTCTAACAATGTTGGCTGGTGTGTTCAGAGCATGAAGCAGCCAGAGACGAATAAATCCATGCAGACCAAAAGGGAAACTTGCGGTAAATCCACTCAATGGGTAGAACAGTGTGTTCAGCTACAGCAACAATAATAACCAAGCTTTTAAAGTTACAAGGTGTGAAAATAAACATGTGGGTGTTTCTTTCCAAAAGCAAAATGCCCGGGGGGGTTAAAACTGATGCATCTTCATTCAAAAGTGCAAATTTTTTAAAACATCACTATGTATGATGGAAAAGAAATGTCTCCACGGAAAACCACTTTTTAAAAAAAATAAAAAAGATGATTTGTGAAAAAGAAGAACAGCCTGCAGGTTGTGTACTAATCATGCTTAATCGCATGAGGAGGTTTGGTGTACTGAACCCTGATGGCTCCTGGGTGTCCATGGCTCATCATGACAGTAGAGCCAGTCATCACAGGGCCTTTTGAAACGGGCCCGAGGATGTGACTTGGAGCTTTGTTGCGTCTCCTCTCGGCTCTGCTTTCCATACAGGGGCGGGGTGCAGCGCTCCAGTCCGGCGCACCGTAACCGACTGCTGCTCTGCCTGCACTGCCTGTCCCGTCTGAGCGCGCACAAACAACATGGGTCTGGAGAAGGAAAAATCGGACATCAGCATAATCATGGACGAAGACGAGTTCAACAGGTCGATAGAGCCGATGCTGTCGAAGAAGGGGAAACGCACGTACGTGGCGGAGCCGGACCGAGATCCGCACGATATCAATGCGCACTTGAAGGTAAAGTCTGAACACGGTGTTTGAAAGTGAAACTACACAAGATAGCGGTTGTTAAGTTGAATTATGTACTCAATAATGTGAGTTCATTGTTTTCACGTCACACTGTGTTAATCTGCAGCCTGAATACCTGGAAGTCGCTGCCTGCGCGTCAATCCATCATCTCCAAAGCCAGTTTTATTTTGTTAAAGCTCACTGTACTACCAACAGGTCGGCTTCGGGGACGTCATCGCGGAGCCCGTCTCCACGCACAGCTTCGACAACGTGTGGATAGCGAGCCACTTCGCGTTTGAGGTGGTCAAATTCTTCTTTTACCGCGTGCTGACCACGCTGCTGGCCGTGCCCATGGCTTTCATCCTCGGACTGGTCTTCGCGGTGCTCAGCTGCATCCACATCTGGTAGGGAGAAGTCCCCCCCCTCGACCTGCAGGTCTCTGTTTCTGTGCTGAGTTTAGCCTGGCGCATGTGGCACTGTGCCAAATGTTGGCCATTACAAGAAATAATTATGCACATAGATATCATAACAGAGGGATGCCATGACATGAAATGCTCTTTTATGAGTGAAAATAAAACTATAGTCAGTAGATTAAACATATAATATTGTACAAAATATATAAAAATATATATAAAAGACGTTCTACAAACATCATCAATTTCCAATATAAAGATTATTGAAGTATTATAGTGATTCAACATTCTATTTCAGTATGATAATGTCACTTAAACACTGTTTTGAGCAATGAAAACACTTTTTAAATGTGTGTGGAACATTTGTTACCCTTGCCAGCATTGCTGTGGCTCTTTCAGGCAAACATTGAGAGAAGTTATTTTTACAGTCAGGCGTAGTATGACGTCAAAGTCTCGTCAGCGCTTTGTTTTCATACTTTCATTTGGACAGTGATGTCATGCATATGTCGTCTACTGTATATGCACCTGCATCAAGTTAAACCAGGTGCCTCCAGGTTTAACTTGATGCCAGACGTGCAGTTCCCAACCACAACCCAAAGAGTCTGTTCATTAGCACTTGATGAAACAACACCTTATGCCCAGAAGTCAGCGCTGAATGGAAAGTTGGGAGGAATGTTGAGCTCCACTGGTAGTTGAGGGGGGGAAAAAACGCCCTGTGCCCTTTGCTGGATAGCTGGCATTCTAGCAACAACATAGACCTGTTTACAGACCGGAGTGGGACATTCTTCAGATGCAGATAGAGAACTGACCTTTTGACCTCAAGCTCAGGACGATTCCTTCAAGCCGCCGCAGGTATTCGTCAGTAGAGGACTGAGCGATGACGCTGAGCCGGTCAATACACACAGAGGGGTGCAGCTTCAAAGGAGGACACAGCTTTCACAACGCACCTTTTTTATTTCATGTAATTTATCGGAGAGAACGTCACAAGCTGCAGGAATGTAACCATATGATACCGTTCTCTAACCAACATTTATGTAAAGATCAATGCATCCAAAACATAATTCATTTCAGAGCCATAGATTCTCACATACTTTTTAATATTTGACAGTAGGACAGAAGGTTGACATAGCTTCATCCATCAGCAGCATCCTTGAGCTAAAAGCTGGAGCAGCAGGGCAACAATTTCTACATGAATCAGTAAATCTGTGAAACTTGATGAGAGTTAAGTCACAGCGACAGCCACTTGAGATCAAGAGGCAAGTGTTAGATGGAGAGGTTGTTGATCGATATCCCAGGGTAAGAATTCAGCCCAGTCTCAAGGAAAAAAACGTTCGTCATTGTATGTTACTGAAAACCACGGACACGTTCAATGTGGAACTTTCTTAACCCCAAAAAGTTTGGCCAGTGATGTAGAATAGCCAGCGAGCGTTATTTTAAAGTTACGTTGTATAAAAAGCAAGAAAGTCCACTTAGGGCGGGTGTGAAGGGTGTTGGGCCGGTCAAAAGATAAGAGACTTTCACAAAGGAGACAACACTGTTTGTGTTGTTGTGAAACATTGTTTTATGTTAAAGTTGTTACATTAAAAAGTCAATATTGATTGTACTTATTTAAAACCTGCAAATCACCGACGTCCATCTCCAAAAGATGTCATTATGAGTGAGGATTTAAAGAAAAAGTAAAATAAAAAACTAAAAAGCATAACTTCTCAGCGTCTGTTCTGAAGGGACCTTTTGACCTCTTCCTGCAGGTTGGTGATGCCGGTGATCCAGAGCTTGGTGATGCTCTTACCGTCAGTCCAGGTGGTGTGGAGGAGTCTGACAGACATGATCGTCACGCCGCTCTTCCACAGTATGGGAAAGAGCCTGTCATCCGTTCAAGTGGAGACCACCGAGTACTGATGCGGACGCCTCTCTGTCCCCCTGCGGAGAAAGAAGTGTCGGACAAAAGGCGTGACTGATGCTTGTGGTGGAATACATGAGCTCTTTATAAAGTCAAAGGTGAAACCCTGAAGAGTGCCGCACAAAGTACTTACAACTATAAATTCATCAGCCCAGCGCCAGGAAAAAAATGTTTCTGCAAACGTTGAATGTGGGCGTTTATGCATTCGGTCAGAGCAGGTGACATCATACAGCAGCTACCAGTATTTAAAGTTACATGGTGTGAAAGTTACAGTCCAATAAGGGTGGATGGATGGGTCAAACAAACACAAGACTTTCACCCAGGAGACCACTGTGTCCGTGTCAAACCAAAAGTAAACTATGGTTGTTACGCAACATTATGCTAATGGCGGTTGTTACGGTTGTAATGTCATTATTTTAACAATAACAAATGTTTTTTCTAACCTTAACCAAGTCATTTTGTTGCCTAAACCTAGCCAACCGTTTCACTATGTTAAACACGTGTCATTGTGCATTTCTGCTGATATGTAACGTACAATGTTTGGGTTCAGAAACGTATCCCGTTGTTTACAGAAACATTTATTCCTGACGACTGGGTTGAATTTATTACAACGATAAATAAAAGAATCAGGCTTAGTAAGCATTAAGTGTGATTTTGATCACTTGCGGGTAAAAGTCTTCAAAGCTGCGTTAAATTTTAAAAAGCGACATCTGTTTGAATATATTTGAATGTTTAGTGAGGACTTGATACACATTGAAACATAGCGATTAAATGCTGTTAAAACAACAGCTACACCTGACCTAGAAATCCTAAATAACACACTTGCACTGGTTCAAGACAACAGGCCTTCATGTCGTTTAATCTGCAAATCAACAGGGTTTATAGTCACATCACATCAGGAAAGTAGATGTTCCTGAAACCTTTTGTGACTTTATGAAAAGCTCATGAGCACCTCCCAAAATGGAGTTGTTGTGACCAAAAGGACAAAAATAATTCTTGTCATTCCATTAGTTTGTGGCCGAGAGAGCCGTGGGATCAGCAAACTGCTGACTTGCTGAGACATGTAATATTTCTGCTTTTATCATAAATTGTATATATTGCAAGTAATTCAGCTCGAGGTTGAATGTGTTGAACTGAATCAGAGTCTGAGAGGAGTTTGTATGAATATTAAATGCTAAGATGCAGCTTGTTGCAAATGTCCAGGCTTATTTTACTTTAATCTGCTGTGTTGATTTCACAGTGCATTGGTTATGATATTGGCCATTTGCTTTTACGCGGACGTACGATAAACTATACGCAATAGAGTTGTTTTAACATGTTGGATACTTTGCTTCCTAAATCATTATTTACATCTGCCGCCATCTAAGAACTTCACTTGAGTGAAGGACAGCATGATAAAGGAGTTTGCTACAGCGCTGCTAGTTAGCAGGCCTGGTTTAATATTTCTACAGCCAGAGGGGATCAGACAGCAGCGTGATTTATATTTTTTTGCGGTGTAGTTGATAAAAGTTGATCTTAAGGTACAAAGCCTGCACGGTTCGCACTTGCGGTACAATCTGATATTTAGAAGGCGATATAAAGAGAGGAAGTGTGACAGTTATGGAGCCGAGTGTTGGGAACGTACTTATGAATGCAAACCCACCTCTGATAACCAAACACACACAACATCCTTTTTGCTCCCGAGAAACATCTGGCTGTGCCACTTTCGCTAGAAGCTAGTTGCTAGTTGCTAGTTGCTAGTTGCGGTTTATCAGAGCTTGTTTTTCTGAAAATGGCCGCCCGCTGCTTCTGTGGGCATAAATCCTGTCATAATATCTAGTTGGTTATCATCCATATTTTCCAGGTAAATGGGGATTAAATCAAGTGGGATTATAGCTGTAAGTAACACACACCTACACGTGACTCAACATTGCACCGCGAGCCAACACGCGGCAGCTCCTACCTCCGACAGCAACACGTGATCTGGACGTGGCGTTTTGTTTTTCCAGCTGACAAAATGAATGGCAGCAGTTCTGTCGGAGCTTTTAAAATCCTTTCACAGAAGTTGGACCGCTGACAAGCTGCCAGCCAACGTGCTTGTGTTTACCGGAGATTCACTGTAGGGTTGTGCAATAGTGGAAGACGCAGGTGTCGTGTGGACGAAGCTTTTTCTCCCCTCGGCAATACCACGTAGTACTAATCAACCCCGGCTTATCCATTAATAAGGCAAATAAATCATACTGTGACATGTATCTGTCTGTAAAATGCTTTTATTGAGCCGTGCTTTGTGGATATACTCGTTTTGGAGCTTTTGCCTCAAATGTGTTCTTCATGACTGAAATAAAGATTTTTTTTTGCCTCGAGGTTCGTTTCTCTGCGTCTGTCACAGGAGATGGATTTGCAGCTGAGTGCCAGAGAGGCCTCGTAAATCACTTCGCTTAGATTGCACGAGACACTTTTCCTGCACAAAGATGATCTGTGGGTCGAGGGAACGTGACCCGAAGCTTCTCTGTCAGACCTGCAGGCCTGCACAAGCATCACTACCTGTTAGAGTATTCACCCACCATGTAGTACAGCTTTGTGTATCTCTGTAAGTTTGTGATGTCCCGATACTACTATTAACTTTTACTACAGCTATTAAACCTGCTGCAATGTCCTTCACCACTGAATACCTCGTATTATCTGGTGTTCTGTTCCTGAAAGTCTTTTGTTCTCTGACTTGAGCTTCTCCAGCTCACACCCTCTTTGTCCTTTTCTGTCTTTTTTTAAGGCGAGACACTACATGCTAAAACCTGCACGGGTACATTGAATCTTTTTTCTTCTCTCATATTATTACTACTCCAAAATGATTGTTATACTTGACTCACTGTCGCCTTTGTTGCTATGTTACTACACTCCCTCTCTGATATTCGGGGGTTCCTATCAGTCTCGTGTCCACTGAGCTAAACATAGCACATGTGATAGCTTCGTCATATCCTGTGTGCTGGTCAATATAATCATCTGACAAGAAATCACATGCTGCCTTCTTAATGTGAGCAAATGCCTTGTATCAGTTCCTCCTTTGTTTCTGCTGTGTCAATGAATTAACTACATTTATCTTTATTAACCATCATCATAAAGCTGTGATGAATCCAGTCTAAAGCCTTCATGGGCTCATCGTTATCCTGTAAAAAAGACCGTTTGTATATCAGTTACCACCCTGTGTTCACCTTGACTTCTTGAAGAGCACTTTGTGTTTTGAGAAAAGTCTTGATGATGTTAAATTGTGGCAGCGATTAATAACTGCAGAACTACAAACTCCCACATAACTCTTGCAGTATAATCCAAGTCTCCTTATCCAGTCCGATGCTTTATATATTTATTTGTATATGTAAAACACATCCGCATAAACCGGGTCCATCCCGCTCTGTTAAATATGAACAAATCGCTTACTTTTACTGTTGTTAATCCCACATTTACTTCAATTTATCAAGACTTTTCTCCGTCTTTTGATTGTTCGTTCGACGTGTAGGCATGAGAGAAAAACAAAGTTATCTTCACTAATTCAAGGTGAGTAATTGAGATGCAAATTAACATTTTGAGGTTGAAGTATTCCTTTTAAAAGTGAGTTTATTTCACTTTTGGGCTACCAGTTCCTTTTAAAAGAGCAGGCATCGCTTTTGTTAAGGTCAGAAAGTTCGTCCTGGCGTTGAGCATTCAGTTTGATCCCAGGGCTTTCCCAGCGCCATCCTCCAGACTGATGGAATCAGCTGTTCAACCTGTTCTGTCACTGGCCTGAAACACTCATTTACATGTGTTTGATAGTCCTATCATAAACCTAAGCTGCCCCAGCGTGAAGTTAACACAGATCCTGTTCTGCTGATGCTGAACCACGATTCACTCTCATAAAGTAGATGTTTGGGGGAAGTCCCACCTTGACAGAACTTTCTATACCCTGTAGCCTGACTTCAGCTGTTCATATGGTGTTTCTCAAACAGAGAATATTCTAAAATGCTGATGTAGCGCCTTCTGTGAGTCCACATCAACATAACATCTTTGTTAGAAACAGGTTTTCATTTGGTTGATTTGATCAGAGCCACACCTGCTGAAGTAAAGCTATGTTAATGTGTAAAGCACCTTTCCAGAGCAGATGTCACAAATCGCTTCACAACAATAAAACATTTGTTAAACTAAGAGTCACTGCACCCTTTATCATTTAACTGCTGCATTAAAACCAGCAGAATGAGAGAAAGACAAATTCAAAGAATTAGAGTCCTCAAGCCTTTTAGAGTTCTGAGTTTCAGTGTATCGACTTGTAGAAAGGAGAAGAACTAATACACACAAATGTGTTGGCTGATGTCTTCCTCAGCGTGCAGGTTCAGTTCAACCTCTTTGAAACAAGAAGGGTTAAAAGAGCAGAATGCTGACCATTCAAAACACAGAGTGTCACAGCAATAAGAAAGGTGAAGCGTGTTTACAAAGAGTGGTCACACAGACTCAAAGATAATTCTTAGAAATCTTGGTACCACTTTGCACCATTCAAAATGAGTTAAATTTAATTTATCCATAATTTAGAAAAACATCTTGAGTGGTCACCTGTTGTTGCCTTTGTGGTTGTTTTTGTGATTTAGAGTGTTTTTATTCATCATTATTAATTTACAATTAGTAAATATACCTTTTGAAACAAAGAATAATTTATTGATGTTTCCCATGAACAGTTATTACATTACCGTAGTTACTGATCTACTGTATTAGTAAAGTATTTATTGGCCATATCTTACTGAAATCGTTCAGCTTCTACAGGAAAACCCCCAAAACTGGCTCCTATCACATCCATCCAGAAAACAGCTGAGTGCGCCAGCAGGTGTCACTCCAAGGTGAGTTGATACAAGAATGTAAACAAACCAGAGTGACCAGCGTGGTGTCACAGCAGTGGCGTTAACGCTGAGGACAACAGCTGAGAGTGTCAATGCACCATATTTGTGCTTTAAATATGAGTATAAACTATTGTCTGAGGGTAGATGACAGACTGGGTTTTATATTCGCTGAAATAGGTAAATAAACTATGGAATGCTCCTTTAACTTTCTTATTTATTCATTTCTCTTTTGATTATATTTTTCTTGCTCTCTTCTAGCACTTCAATGGGTCTCCCTCAGACTAAGGTATGGCAAATATCCACACCTTGCCATTCCCAATTAACGCCCACATTTCACTGAACAAAAAGGTTATTATGCTCTGCCTCGATCCTCAAATAAAGTAATTCCACGGAAGTTTACAGTTACAACACTCCTACAGTTTGAGATCGCGTCATTCCCCCCAAGTCTGGCAGGTTTCAGGGTGGCTCTCCCGTCTCTGCTCACAGGTGACTGCGAGGAAGCGCTGTGCGGGAACCGAAGGAAGAAAAAAAAAACGGAGGTTTCCCCTCGCATCTCTGACATTAAAATTCTAGTCACGTTCAGCGAAAAGGGCAGGAGTTAGATGGCCATACAGGTCCCTGAGAAGAGCCCCGGTTCTCTCATTTCGCCTCCACGCCTCCTACTCAGCTTCCTATAGTGTCTTCTCGTCTGTTCACCGCGCTGATCCGTTCAAACTTGAGGACAGCATGACAGGAGGACTGAAGGACGGCGAAACAGAAGAGGTACAGTAGCCAATGCCTCTCATGCAAAGCCGGCACTGTTTGACACCGATTTTTCTTTTCGATCTCCATTGCGTAGCTGATTATTCTCGCTTATAATTTGCATTCATGAAGGGCATTTGGATGTTTGTTTGTTTTTTCAAACTCCAGAGCGCTATCATTATCTTACTTTCTGGCACCTACTCGGGAACGCTTCTCCAACACACCCTGGGGGAATGCGAAGGACCACTGAGCATGCATTAGCACGTGGGTGTGAGATTTAACCTGCTAAAAACATATACTAACAGAACAACCGAGAATAACTTTTACGCACCAGCCATGGAAGTTTACATGCTCGTGCGTAAAAGTGCCAAGGAGGAAACCCACAACCATTTCCGTACGTAAGATTTCAGACAAAGATCATGAACATGCTTTAACACTAAATAATGAAGCCATAGGGCAAAAATGAGAAGGCGCTTAAAATATCTACAGAGGACAGAGTAGTTATATTGGGACAATGGGGGCGTTTTACGCACATCGTTATAAACCAATGGACACGGAAACCTAACATGTTTTACAGTACTTAAAACTGTCCATGTATTGATAACAATATGGTTGATAACCTCTATTTGTTCAAAAAATATTGCAAAATGTATTTAGAAAGAGTTTTTCCCAAAAATAAGTATTTGTATTTGGAATTTTCGCCTTTACGCATTTCTTAAAAAACGTCGCCATGCCTTCCAGGTACATGTTGAATCAACTTGTATGTCATGCGGGATATTAGTTTTCTCTCCGGGTGGTGAGCACCCCTTGCGGCTGGTTCGAGGGGTGTGGTGCTTCAATTCCAATTCATTTAAACCCATCCCTGTTTGTGGGGCAGGCTGGTAACGCGCAGCACCAGTCTCTCTCCCACTCTGAGCGCGCTGCACGCTATCCCTCCTCCTCTTCACTCTCTTCCTCTTTTTCTGTCTCCTCTGGATCCTTCACAGGAGTTTCTGCATTCACCGTTCATCCGAAAACAAGGGAACATTTACAAACCTAACAACAAAGACATGGACAACGACAGTCTGAACGAGAAGACGATGGACGACGTCCACACCAAAGAGATCGACCTGGTCAACCGTGACCCGAAGCGCATAAACGACGATGTGGTCAAGGTGAGTCAAACCTGGAGGGTTGGTAACTTGTATTTGGGTAAACGTGCAGCTGCTGAGAGCTTTCACTCTATTCTCGTGGCAACTGAAACCATCAACTTTACCAGAATACCTGTTGCAGAGTTTGCACTTAACTTCTGCTCAGTGGAGATGCCTGACAATCACCGTAAACTGAAGTCAACTTTGGGAAACTGCGCTGAAATATGAGCTGTCAAACTGGTGTTATGTGCGGTTGTGCGCGCCAGACGCGCACGGAAGCTCTATTGCGCACGGCATTGGTTTCCAGCAGTGTTCTCCCTCAGTGACTTCCCCCTATTAGGAAAAGACCCTGCACATGCATTAAAGCCCACTGGGGCTCAATGGCAAGTTATCCACGCGTGTAAATATCTGCGTGGACTTGAAAACTCGAACATCCTCGCACCAGCAGAGGAAACATTACGAATTTCCTGTTGTTGGAACACAGTATTTTTTCCCAGTTACACACGCCTTGCTGTTAGGAAAGTGGAGTTCTTTCCATAAGAGAGCTGCCTGGCGGCGTCGAGTGTTTATTTTGTTTAAAGGAGTTTAGCAGATAGAGAGGGGGGGGGGGGGGGGGGGGGGGGG